TGCAATCTTCTTGACAACTTTAGGAACAATTTTGGTTAATTCAGATATCTTTTCTTTTTTTCATGTATGTTGGACCTGTCCACTTTCAAACTTTCCATGAAGAAATCTTCCGCCACTTTTTTTCAGGTACCCCTTGACGGCCAGGAATTGAGGTCGCGAAGTTTATTATAAACTAGTTAGAAAACTGTCAATACACCAAGATATTTCTCGCTTTGTTGGTTTGAAAATACGGCTTATTTAGATTATTTTTTCTTGACTCTTTATAACCCGAAATTCCATTTGAAGTTTTTCTTCATGCCTTTAAAGTGATATCATAAAATGGCATGACTTCCAAAGCTGTTTCATGAACCCTATGAACCCTGCATGATTTGAACATAAAAAGAAGTGTGTTGTTAGTCTAAAAATAAATTGCATGTTAAATAAACATGTATCGCGTAGATCATCATCTTGATGAGAAAAGCAAAAATATACCTACTTTTAAAAATGCAATGATTTTGAAAACGGATTTATAGTACCAGCTCTCGTTGTGTATAATATATATAAAGGAAGTCAGCGTTTCGATTTTCCCGTATTATAGTGTTTGATACATAAAAGTAGAGTGCAAAATATGTTTAAGTTAGAAAAATACAAAAAGTACACTTTCTTACCTACAAGCCTGTTTCGTGATCGCTCACTAATTGGGGATTTTATATTTTTGTAACTCAACATATAAATGTATATATGTGTTCTTTTCGTTTGTTTTTGCTAACTTTTTTGTGTATGTATTCATTTCTTTCTTATCTCTTAAAGATATTGGCTAATTTTATATAGCTACTCTGAGATTCGAAAGTAAATATGGGTTATGTATGCACGTATGTGTATTGGCTCATTGTTTTACAAACTTGACGTACGCACACAGTCGATATTTATGAACGCGTTCACGCGTGAGGTATTCAAACTAGTTATGAATCGTCTGAATCTAGGTTCGAACTGTCTGAGGCTAATTAGTAGTCTTGAGTTGTTCTAAGAAGTTTAGATACGCGTATAACATTTTCCATTTTCACTCTGTGATTTTTACAAAGCCGGATAACAGCGTCCAGGATTCTTCTCTAGGCAACTTCTAGATCCGCTATTTCCTTACTTCTCTATTATCAGACTTGATTCAGTTCATAAAGGGGTATTACAAAACAATTTAGCATGGAAGGTGGTCAAAGCTATTTCCACGTCATTTGATCCTTTTTATTCCAAGCTTTCTCAACGGTTGTCTTGCTTACTTCTGAGCTGCAGTCGGGCATGAAAATCATTTTGGACAGATTCTGGGTCTAAAGTAACCATTTTTGATCCTTGTGGTTTAAAATCTAAAATTTCATTTTAACTGGTTTCTCCGGACAACGCTAAAAAGAGCAACAACACCAAGAAGGGTGCCTCTGCTCCCATATGGGATATCAGTCAGCTGGAGATTAAGTTTGTGAGCTTTTTTAGGATTTCCCGTGGTAATGCTCCGGCTAATCGATTTATATCTGGTGTATTAAAAGGCGCGGAGCATCACAAAAGGGATGTCCTTCCCGTAAGCAAAGTTCGAGAATAGATTAGTGATCACTTAGTCTTGGAGACTCAATGGTCACAGAAAACAAAAATATTTATCTGATAGGTTTAACTATGATTTCAGTTTTCAAACATAGGCTGCATAAATTAATTTATTCCCTTTAGTAATAAATGTCATTTATGCCTCTTGCTCGCTTGCCAATAACCGAGTGTTGTACACTGTGCATTCCTAGGGGTGAGCTTGGTTTCCTGGGAGAATTAAACGGACAACCTTTATTTGCCTTATATGACCTCCACCCACTTACAGACCAGAGAAATTGGCCCAGAGCGGAAACACTGGGCCCTTGCCCCAATGTCCCCGAAACTAGCACTACTAAATAAACCTATCGTAAAAGGTCAAACTGCTGGCCCCTGCTTAGCAGCCACTTCTAAATTACAGCGGCTTATGATTGCACATTCAATTTATGCTCAGAACATTTGCCATTTTAAGAAACAGTTGGCCCCTGCGCAAATGCTCCTAAGTAGGCCCTACCTAATCCCTTCAGGGTAACACCGATAATACACTGTGGAGCTCCACAAGGTAATGAACTATATTTGCGTAACCCATTTACCAAGTGGCCCCCGCACACATGGTTTAATGAAGTAATATAAGAGTGGACTATACTCAGGAGATTTAATATATGTAAATCTAAGAGGTGGTTCATACTCTAATATTCCATATTCACTGTAATATTAAGACAAACATAGCACAGATACCAGTGGCTCCTGCATACCAGATCTGTGCCATGTTTGGGAAAGCCTACTATGTCTATACGGTATCCCCATGCAAGCACGGGGAAATGGTACTGAACTACGCCTGGAAGGCTGACAGAGACCACGTTGTGGAGGTTCATATATATCGCGGAAACGTATTAGAGTTTCCGCGTCTAAAATTCCTGATCTGTGGGTCTGACATAGCTTTCGCTGCTGCCGAGGAAGCAGCACCGATCCTAAAGCTACGATTCTTATAGTGCGAAATATCCAGGTCACAAAACTGATTGGTCTTCCTAAAATGCTGTAGGTTTGCAGAGTCACTATGCTTGTATCTCCTCAAAACAATTTTTTGGTACCCTCCCTGGTATTCAGAAAGGTAACTTGACTGATATTGATGATATTTTGACCAGGTTTACTGCCCCGATGAGCAAGTTCACTAACTCTAAGGGCCGCAAAGAACGCAACAGCATACATGGCATACAAGGATGATGTAGTGTGTTCGCAGGCCAAGATGATATTTTCTAGTATGGGTAAAGTAATGGGTAACCGAGTGTCTCATTTTTAAGGGCTCATTTTACTGTAACCCGCAAAGCGAGTTTGATCTTTTCAGATTTAGTGGGGTCAAGGAGAGAAGCTAAACGATGAGGAAAAGCAAAATTCAAAAGGCCCGTTAAAGATCGTCTCTCCCGCAGGACGAACTTCTTTCTAAGCAAAATTCTAAAATCAAAGAAGAACATGTACGTATTCTTTAAGGAGGCAAACGAGCTTCCTGCAACACAGAATCTAGTTCAATGCCTTCAAAAGAAACGTAGTAAGAGAGCCGCAGGATTTCTCAGATGCTATACACCGAATGCAAATATGGCGTCCAATTTGAGTTGCCATTGTTCTGGACTGACTCGCCTCTCACACATGTAATAATCCCTTTGTATTTCCACGCGAAGACGAGGCTAGTCAGTCCAGAACAATGGCAATTCAAATTGGACGCCATATTTGCATTCGGTGTATGGGAATGCTAACATATGAACCAAGATCAATAAACAAATCTAGCTGAGTCTGACAAAGGTGCTTTTCTGGGGCAATAATTAGAAAATCATCCAACAGATGAATGATATGATCTATTTTTAGCTTGTGATGGGCAACCCATTCAACTGCAGTGCTAAGAATTTCAAATGTCCTACAAGAGCTTGCACAACCCATAGGCATACAGCGGTCAAAGTAAAAAGGGGGGGTGGTCACGCCACTGCATATCCAAGAGTCCTTAATCATCTGGTTGGATTGGTATGATACGAAAGCATTTTGAATATCAGTTTTGGCTAAAAAACAATCCCTGATAGATGCATATTTAACTGTGCTGTGGTCATGGGAAATACCATCATTCACAGACGAACCCTTGAGAAAAGACAAGTGATGTATAAGGCGAAACTCCCCTGACGATTTGTTAGGGAGTACACCTAGGGGGGGGGGGCACAAAGGGGGATATAGCGACCAGTAGCTAGTTATTTTTCAATTTTGGCATCAACCACTTCTGGTTGCTGACGAGCAGATAAAAGATTTGTAGCCTGCATTGACTCACGTGACCCATCAAAATGTAAGGGGGGGGAACATTTTGTAATTCCAGACAAAAGAAAAAGCACAGTTGAATGGGGATACCTGGACAATCGATTCAACAACCTCTCAAGTTTTACTGGTGTTGGGAAAGGAGGATTTGGCAACGGGGGATTTGGGATGAAGGCTATGTCTTGTTGTTTGTTTTGATTGGCCATGAAATCACAAACACTCTTGCAATGTGCACTCTCGCACTTGGGACAGGAATGTTTAGAGGCACAGCCTGAGCAGTCACTGCCCGTATGTAATTTAAACCAATAACGCTTGGGAACAGAACTAGATTCCAAAAAGCGCGACCTGGTAGAGTTCACAGGATGATTCAGCTTCCGAGATACCGATTGTTAGGATCGCATCCACAACTCCCAATGGATAGTACCCCATGGGAAAGCAGACGGCTGATTCTGGTGCAAATAACGAAAATTCTCGTCATAAAAGTGCCAATCATGCCCCCGGTTTGCCAAATCCTGTATGATCTCCCTATACTTTATGAGGGCGGGGGCCTCTGAAGGAAACTGGCTAGTATACACCCTAACATAGATAAGAAAACTGCTTGTCCACGAGGAAATATTTAG